TTGATAATCAAAAATGTATTAATTATTATATTAAATATCTAAATATAGAAAAAATAAACTTCTCAACATTAGTGTGTCAAAAAAACAAAAAAATATTAAAATCAAATATCTAACCCTAATATATGAATCTAACCCTAAAAGACAAAGCATGTTATACCATTTTGTTGGGAAACCATAACACATTATCTTTCACATGGTTACCAATTCAATATAAATTCTATTAAAGTTTTCACTTATATGAAATTTTAATTTATATATTTCATACTAATCTTTATATTGATGATTTATTTAAAAACTTCCCAAAAATTATTTTTATACATTTTTAAAATTAAATTATAAGATCAAATGACGATGTAGACTGTAGAATACGTCTACAAAGTAGACTTCTAAGAAGGTCTACAAATGTGTAGACTTCTCTCTATTATGTGTAGACTTGCAAAGGACAGAACCGTAAAATAACTGTCTGTTTTTTTGTTTGGTCACAAGGGTCAAGTAGTAACTTCAAAACCCCTTTAGGTTGGTTTTGCATTTGACTCAATAAGGGGTACACCTTTAGGGTTGAAATGAAATTTTAGGTTGGTTTTGGCAAATCCCCCTTAAAACTTCTGATAAGGCAACATAAATAATTTATAATTTTATAGATGATTTATAAAGCATGCATGAAATTTTCTTAAAACATTAATAGCTATTATGATACTTTATATACAAATATAAGGCTTTCAATACGAATATAAAATCATTATATCAATTCAAATGAAAAATTTTCTTTATTATTTTATCTTATTTATAAATATATAAAAAATTTGATCACATTATTACTCTTTCATAGTTTCAAAAATTAGTTACCATAAATAATTATTCTTAATAAGTAGATTATTTGGAAAGTTGTAATTGAGTTATCCTTAAGATATAATTATAATAAATAAAATTTAAAATTATGGGCCAATCAAATTATAACAATTTGAAGAGTCCATTAATGCACCTAATAAAAAATCACTTATGTTATTTCTCAATCAATATATAGTAGGTTTTAGCTTTTTATAAATAATTTATAACATATTTTAAAATTCAAATAAATTTATTCTTTAAAAATGCTAAATAATTTTAAAATAATATCAATAAACATGCTTGGATTTTGTAATATTTAAAATAGTTATTATATAATTCTATTCGAATAAAATTCATAAAGTAGAGTATAAAACTATTATAATTATCTTATATAAAATTTCGTTCATTATATTTATAGTTTGTAAATATTAAAAGTAATAAATAAAACATTATTGATCTTTCTATAATTTCGAGAATTAGTTTTCCATAAATTTTTATTTGTAATATTCTTTAGACTATATGACAAGTGATGTTAAATGATTTTAGACTTACCTTAAATTTTTAGATCTAAATTAAATAAATAAAAATTACGAACAATCGAGCAATCAAATTATAACAATTTCTTCAAAATTCACCTATGAGCGACACGTCACCATAAATTACTAAAATGACTTCAAATTTAATATATAGGAGGATATAGAATTATAAATAAATTTATAAAATTATTTATATTGGCTTATAAATTCATATATCAATTCAAATAAACAATTTTGTTTATTATTTTATGTAATTTATAAATTTATAAAAAATTTGATCACATTATTACTATTTCATAGTTTCAAAAATTAGTTACCATACATAATTATTTCTTAAATTAAGTAGATTATTTGGAAAGTTTTAATTGAATTATCCTTTAGATATAATTATAATAAATAAAATAAAAAATCATCGGCCAATCAAATTATAACAATTTGAAGAATTCATTTATGCACGTAATAAAAAATCACTTATGTTACTTCTCAATTAATATATAGTTGGTTTATATTTTTATAAATAATTTATAAAATTTTTATAAATTATTTTAAATTTTAGATAAATTTATTATTTATACAAAAACAAATAATTGAAAAATAATTTTAATAAACATGTTTTGATTTTGAAATATTTAAAATAGTTATTATATAATTATATTCGAAAACAATTCATCAAGTAGAGTATAAAACTATTATAATTATCTTATATAAAATTTCGTTCATTATGTTTTATAGTTTATAAATATTAGAAGTAATAAATAAAACATTATTAATCTTTCTATAATTTCGAGAATTAGTTTCCTTAAATTGTTATTTGTGATATTCTTTAGATTATATGGTAAGTAATGTTAAATGATTTTATACTTACCTTACATTTTTAGATCTAAATTAAATAAATAAAAATTAAGAATAATCGACCAATCAAATTATAACAATTTCTTGGAACTTCACCTATGAGCGACACGTCACCAGAAATCACTAAATTGACTTCTCATTTAACATGTTAGTGTCCCTATCCCTCCTCCTTACCGCTTGACCACAATCACCCAATCTGGTTTTATATTTTTTTGTCTGATTCAGTAACTCTGTAGCGAATTCTGTTTTGGTCTTTGGAACTATTGAAAGTGTTAAAAAAGTAAATGTTATTTGAAAACTCAGGTGGTGAATACTTTAGAATTTTATAACGCTGTCATAGTCTAAAAATGTGATTTCGCCATTTTTTTTTCAATCACAATATCATTCAAAATCTTATATGTTGGAAATTAAAACTGAACCTACGATTGAACCTACAATTTTTTATTGTTTACTAAATTGTCCGATTCAAAAGACTAAGAATATATATATGTACTTGTTAGATATGGAATAATAAAAAATACACTGTAGACAGAAAATATGAAAATAATGTTTTTGGATCATAATGTTGGAGTGAATATATTCAGAACAATTAAACAGATGCATTAATACTATACTGTATACAAAAAAATAAAAAGTCATATAAAATTGTATATTTAATAAAAATCTCATACCATGGGTGGTACTTAGAAAAAGTAGCAATTGTAAAACAAAATAATATTTTCTCTGTCTGTAACAAAATAATATTTAACAATAAAAATTAAATAAATAATGCATATATATTGAGAATATTTTGATTCCCTTTTTACATGTAGATTTAATACAGAATTATACTTTAATTATAATTAGATCGTAATATATAGTTTTCTGTTTATAGTATTACAATATAGTAAATATTAATATTTTCATAGAACTTTTAGTTTATTTAACTAATAAAACAATTTTTATTTACTTTTTTATGAAAACTTTTTTTGGATTAATTTAGTTGTACTTAAAATTACAATTATTTATATTAGCTTTACCTAATATAATTGTAATAAAGTATATTATAGTCCTAAGAAAATATATTATAAACATAATTTAGAATATAAAAAGTAATAAACAAAAACATGATATAGATAATATATATAACAAACTGCAATATATGTACAGCACTGAAATGAATCAGTATTAGTAAGAGAAGATTTTTCGGTGTGAGAATTAACTTTAAACTTCATTCTTAATAATGATAACTGTAATGATGTTCTATTTTATTTCGGAAAAAATGCAAAATATGTATTGCTCAATCATTTATTTTGATTATGGAGATATTATATGAAGGATGAGGTTGAAATAAAATGGATCGCACGAGATGCTAAAGGAGAAGATGAAATTCACACGATTGTGTTGAAGAAATCAGTTGAGGAAGTCACTTATTCTGGTTTGGTTAAGCGTATTTGCAGAAAGATAAAAGTAGATGAATCTACGATGAAGTGAAGATTAATTACTTTTCAATGGTATTGTATTCGTACAAGCCATTATATATTTGAAATGATGAAGACGTTTTCGATTATCTACTGCAAGTAAAATCATAAGATGTGTAGAAATGTTCTACATGTGGAATTCATCAATGAATAAGTGTAACTTTAAGAAGATGATGATGAAACTGATATCTATGTCTGTCTATTTGATAGATAGGGTACTGATAGAGACTGATAGAAAGACTACTGATATAGAGGCTGATGATAAAAATGGTACTGAGAATGATGCAACTGATACTGAAGGTATTGGTCGTGTGCTCACTTTTCACGAAGACTTTGAGATGCATGATGGTGTCAATCAGCCACAGGATGATGGTATGGATTTGATTATATGTCAAGAATATAGAACCAAGGAGGCAGCAAAAATTCATATTCAGACAGTTTCGTATCAAGAATGTTTCAAGTTTGATATAACTAAGTCGGATACAAAGAGATTTGTGGTTAAATGCCGAGGAGCCAAAGATGGCTGCAAGTGGTTTGTGCGAGTTGCAAAATTAAAAAAAAATCATATTTTTGGACGGTTAGAAATTTCATACATGTTCTGTCGTTATTATCATAATCAAAAAATCTTCATGATAAAAGCTTCCGATTATTGTAGTGGTTTTATTGGAGTTACACAAAAACACACTATCTTTTTTTTTTTGAAAGCTAGAGTATTTCTGGTTTTTCACGTGTTAAAATAATATATAAAATAGTTTTACAACCAATTATTTGAAGTAATTATAATATTATTTTTATGTAAGAGAAATATTTTTAATGACTAAGGTTTATGTTGTTGAACTATTTTAAATCGCACAGATCTTTCTAAAAATATATTTGGAAATTTTTGATTATCTAAATATTTGAAATTAAAAATTAAAATTTCAAAATTATTAATTATTATTCAAAAATTATAGCAGTGCAAACATAATATATATTTCTTCGTATAGTATAGCTATCCACAAAACTGCTGGCAAACACCTAGTAGTAAATAATTGATAAGCTGTATTAGGATAAATGATTAGTTAACGTGCTCTATTTTGGCAAATTCCCAAGAAATACCAAAACTAAACATTTTTCTAATCTTAAAATTTTCTAATCTCAAAGTTTATAATCTCAAAAATTCAATATAGTATCACAAAAAAATAAATTAACAAATATAACATTATCATTAATAAATAAAAATTGAGTATATGAACATGGGAAACTGAGAAAACATGTATCAATTTCAAGAAACGGAAAAGAAAGCCAAGTCTTTCGATGGATTTAAAACATATCAGGCTGTAAATTACCTAGCCTTGTGTGTTTGTGTAGCTATGCATATGCATATGCAGCTTAAGCTGAGGGCACAGACTCTAGTTTTCTTTTCTCCAACAGCTTTGTCTGCCTTTGCTGATGCTACCTTTTCAACTGGTTTCGCTTCCTTTTTCTCCTTGGTATGCTTCTCTTCCATTGTTAACTTCTCAAGAAGACTAGCAGCATCCGAAGCGTCTTTACTCTCTTCTTTCTCTTCTTCAGATTCAGCAACTTCCTTGAACTTTTCCATAAATGCTTTGCAATCTGATATAAAAGTTTTTCAAACAAGACTTGATTATTTATTCAACTCTACAACGACTCTACAAGGATCAACAACGCAGAAAGCATTTCAGAAACACAAACAATATTTCACGTGAAACAGCTTTCAATACCACACGTTTACACCAGCTCAATCCCAATAGCCAGTATAAACACTAGAGCTTTAGACTGCTTTTCGTCTATGCAGATCGTACACTAGAACCTATACAAAAAATGTCCAGATACATTTTAGTTCGATTGCCACCTTTAAAAGGCTATATCATTAACAACGATGATACCCTTCAACAATAACTGATTACTAGGGAGAAGGAAACTAACTTAAAACAAGTAAAAGCTTTAAAATAGGTAATACTATAAGCTTGTAGACATGTGATTATATGGGAATATCACTAGGTCCGTTCAAGATCCTCCAGTCCAGTGACCTAAGCCATAAATTGACAGTATCTGCACTTTAGACTCCTGAACAAGGATTACTCATAAAGTTAAGCTACTACAAAGTATACAACAATGAGATCCAATAAATTCGAACTCACTCTCAACTGAAGCAAAGCGGATACAGAAAAGCTCATCCTTGGGCTCCCCATTGGAGAAATCACGAGCGTGCCATACACAAGACTTGTCATTCTCCGCGTGTTCCACAACACTCATTCCCGATGTAACTGCACAAAGAGGAGAAGATCAAAATTAGTGAAAAGAATATATCACAAATACAGATCCATGAAAAATGTATACCAATATGATTAGCACAGATCTTGAGAGTTATGGATTGCCTCATAACGAGACGAATCTTCCCAGTGTCTCTATGCTTCAAGAACTTTACAGTACCTAAATCTCCCTCCTTCCATTGACTCCCATCTATATCGAACCGATGCAACTTCGATTTCCTACAGATTCGCAAACCATAATCAACAACCACTAACCCTAGCAACTACGATCAGATCAAACGATCTGGATACGGAGAAAATAGGAAAACATGCGTACAGATCGAGGAGTGAATCTTCGTTTTCTTCACCGGTAGTGACTGCGACTTCTTCGAGTCCGAGCACCTGTGTCTTCATCCTCATTGGCTCTGGACTCTTCTTCGTCTCTGTGCTCTGGCTCGTTGCTAATGCCCGCCATTTTATCAAATCTTATGCTTGCTGGAAGGAAAATGATATATACAAATCTATTATATTGATATCAACAAGTGTTTAATATACAGAAAAGGTCTAAGGACAACTGTTAACACAAATAAAAGAAATTGAAGGAGTGGATAGTCACCATGCTTTCCAGTACGATGTCTTTATAGGTTAAAAAAATAAATTATGTTATGTCTTTCTTTCATATATTTTTTTTACTCGCTATCATCTTACTGATTAACTCCAAAATGCACATATCATATCATTGACAAACATAATTAAAAACTATATTTTTACCCACACCACCGTGAAAAATTTATTTTTCATATTACAATGTTTTACTTTAATTAATAAAATTTATCAATAAATAAGCAAAATTTGATGGTATATATTTTCTAATTTATAATATTTTTGTGAGGCTAATAATAATATTACTATAGAATTTTATAACTTTTTAGTTTGTAAGAAATTCAATTAGAAAACATTAATATAAGAATACTATTTTACATAATTTTTTTTTTACTTTTAAATATGATATAAATCTATAAGAAAATTAATTTAAATTGGAACTATATGATAGAGAGGAAATTTTTTTAGATACTGTTAAAACATCAAAATTTATTTTTAGGATACTGAGTTTTGAATAGTTTTAGAATTGAATGTCTGTTATTAACAAATCTTGTAAAATATTAATAAAGTTTATATTTAAAATTAATTAATGTAAATTTTTAATATCATTAAAATATGAATATCATATATAGTTTTAATTTTCATTTAGAGATAAAAAAACTAAATTAATTTTAATTTGAAGTATATTTATGATAATTAAAATAAACCAAGTTTTGGAAATTAATTTAAAATAATTCTAAAAGATTTTAAGAAAATTCAGTTATAATTTTCTTAAAATATTTTTATTTCGAATTAAATAAAGATATTAAAATATATTATGATTAATTTATGTAAAAATTGACAAATTTTCTAAGGATGATCCAAACTAAAAAAGATCACACATGAAGTAATCATGACTTCTAGTTTAATAGTATAGATACAATCTTTAGTGTTGAACCTGAATAGTTGTACTATTTAGAGATAGAATCCACAGAGTACATGAACACACAATAGACTAGAGCTATTAAAATTAAGCTAGGAAATTAATATTAAAACAGTAAATAACAGAGAATAAGTAAGCAGTTGGTTTGTAAACAATAAGATAAAATAGCTAGACTTAGGATCTCCGACAATAGAATTACAATAGATGCTAAAGATGTGTGATAAACAGTCATAAAACTAGAATGCAAAACTAAGATATCCAGCTCTTGATGTGAGTCTAATTTGATGACTAAGTCTTTGTTCCAACTATCCGAACAAGAAGCGAGTCGATCAATGCTTTCTCGTGAGAATTCGGATTTATTAGCAAAAAAGCAATCATTAATGTCCTAATTAATATGTTCACTAAGTTAATCTAAACCAGCTCTTGCATATATCTAACAACCTAGCTCAACAAAATAAATATGAGGTAATGAACATACTGTCGCAGTTATCAGTATCTTAAGTTCAGGGTTCTAGTTAGCTATTCTAAAACTCATGAAGCAAGTACAATTCTGATGAAGGATCCTAAAAGATCACCCTACCAATTCTATGTCTCAGTAATTCATATAAACCCTAATAAAACTCAAAACTAACAAGAGAAACTACTCAGACATAATAAAACAACGCATAATAATAATCTGAAAAGAATGGATAAATAGATATAGTAGATAAACTGGAGATCCAATACAAATCTCTGAAAAATCTTTAATCTTCTCTCCAAAACTAAATAGCTAAATAACTTCTAAGAATTGTGGAATAGTGTGTGGGTGGTTTTTCGGTCGTTTGTTACCCAAATAATGGCAAACACACATAAATATTAGGTATAAAGTCGGTCAAGGATATCTTGTAATTATGTGGGTCTCATGGGCTTGAGCCGGTCTTGACTTTAAGTCGGCCTGTCTTCTCGCGCGGTATCTATCGGCACCAAAGGGTCACTGTCGATCGATACTTACCCTTGATTTTGATTCTGGCTTCTGATTTCTTCAACAGTTATGAGTTTCCTCATCATTAAGCTCTAGAATGCTCCATAATCTTCATATTGTATCAAACATATCTGGACCTATAAACACTAAAGACTCCAAACACCTATAATAGACTCTAAAAAGCACATATACTATGGGTGAGAACTAGTAAAATCCATACTATATCATTAATTTATGTATATTAATCAATACTAGGGCTGCAAAATTAAATACATAACTTAATTGGTGATAAATTATGAGGTTACTCATATTCATGTTTATTATTGTTGCTAGCTATTCGAGAAGAGAAGTCTTATATGTTAGTTTTTCAAGAGTGTTAAGTAAGATCAAGATATATTTTTCACTTTCAAAAGTGCTAAGTAATTTTAAGAATATCAAGTCATATGGTTTAATGTGTCTTGTTAAATCATAAGATATATTTTTTAACTTCCATGAGATTTAAAATTTCAACTTTCACTTAAAATTTAACTTTCCTTTTTAAATTTGATTTTCCACTTAAATTTTAATTTTCCGCCTAAATTTTCCGCTTAAATTTTGATTTCATGCTTAATTCGTGTGAATTCTTTTGAGAAATCTTCTGTGATTGATAATGTTAAAGGAATATTTCTCAAAAGACTTCTAGTGAAGTCTTTCGAAAAGTCTTCTAATGATACTTATGTAATATTTCATCTTTTGTGAATTTGACTTAGTTTTCTTAAGGAGTCTTCTTCCTTAGTTTTTGTAAATTTGACTAAGTTTTTGTAGTGTTGTGTTTTGCTATAAGTCGGTAGAATGGTTAAAAAATATTTTGGTATGTTGTATCAAAAACTTGAATAATGCTAAGTATTTTTAGAAACATAATATTGTAGACATAGACACATTTACCAAGTTCTTTCCATTAACTCATCTTTTCAAGTTTACAAAAGAATCCACAACTAAAAGAATACACATAAAAATCATTAAAAGAACTAATACACATGAATCTATAAATCATTCCTCGACATAGATAATCTTGGACTCTACTAGACATCATCCCTTTCTAAAATAAAATGCATTAGAAGCTTTCGAAATGTCTTCCAAAATTCTGATTCAGATCTGAAAAAACATTCATATTTAAAACGTTCAAATGGCTTTATAACAGAGAAAATTTTAAAAAAATATTTTTTATGTTTAAATAATAAATAAAACAGTCACATTAGGTTGAATCTATAACTTTTTAGAATCTAATATATATAAATACACAAAAATACATATCCAAAATTCATAGATCTACCTTTAAATAGGTGAAAGACGAGAACCATATAATGAAAAATGTACAAAAAAATAAATTAGTGAGAAAAACATAAGAAAAAATGAAAACTGATATAAACTTTGGTGTTTTCAAGTTCAAATAGATTAGAGAGAGGTTGGACAGTTTTAGCGAAAGAATCATTATATTTTGTTGCAGCCATCTGAAAGAAAGAGAAGGAAAGAGAAAGAAAGTGTAAGTTTTCTTTATATAAAGAGAAGTCTTTCAAAGTTTATATTTGGCTTCAAAGAAGAGATAAACTTCTGAGATAATTTTTGTATGCTTAAATAATAAATAACAGTCATATTAAGTTGAATCTATTATTTTTTAGAATCTAACATATAAACATACAAAAATACATATATAAAATTTATAGATCTACCTTGAAAAGAGTGAAAGATATAAACCATATAATGAAAAACCTACAAAACATGATAAACTAGTGAAGAACAATGAGAACAATGATATAAGACTTTGTATTTTCAAGTTCAAAGAAAAAAGAGATTGGAGAGTTTTAAAGTGAAAAACATTATATTTTTGTTGCAGTCATTTAGTGGAATAAAAAGAAAGTGTAAATTTTGTTTATATAAATGATATACCATGATTTTGACCCACTTTTAGCCATGATATTGATATGTTTTTATAAGTTATATATATTTTTGGAGTCTATTAGGTATGTTTTCAGGTTCAGGAGCATTTTGGAGTAGAGTGATGATTTAGGTGCCCTTATGGAGCTTAAATGAGAGTTTTCCGAGATGACTATGAAGATCAGACAACAAGGATACATATCGATCGATACATATCCGGTGAAATCGATCGATGACGCTTCTATAGAAGATGAAGTCGAGATACTCCATCGATCGATGTACACCATGTACCATCGATCGATATCAAGCGTGGAGAACAAGTCTTACTTGGCCGACTTGAAGCCCAAGTTTTCCCAATATTACAAGATTGCCCATGACGAGTTTTTAACCTAACGGAACTCATATTTATAGTTTTGCCTATGTGTTTTGGCAAAGTATGCTTTTTATGTTTTTAAGTTTTCTTGTGCTTTGTATGCTTTTGATACTATTTTATACTTAGCAATAAAGTATTCTTTTCATCTTAATTCTCAAAGGTTATAGAATTCAAGATTTAGAAGAAACACACAAAGAGATTTGTTGTTCCAAAGAACCAAGAGTTCAATCTTCTAGTCTTATGAATTTCTATTATTACCTTGCTGCTATGAATCACTTAGCCATGTCTGAGTAGATTCCTTTGTAAGATTTAGGGTTCAAATAGTTATGAGAGATTAGCCCCAACTATGGAATGTTGAGTTGTGATATTCATTATCCAAATGAACCCTAATGCTTACTCTAGAGTAGCTTACTCGATACTCCTATAGAGTAATCGATCGACGGCTACATATATCGGCCGATAATGCGATAGCAATATCGATCGATATTGCCGGCAGACAGATCAATGGACGAGTCTATTTAGCGACAGCTATTGGATCTGTCTAAGAATCGAAGTTCTTATATATCTTGCAAGCAACTTACTAAAACATCCATAGCATTTTAATCCTGATTATCTGAATAGCAACCTTGAATCTAACTATTTTCTTT